TTTCACATTCAATCTTCAAATTAATGTACAAACAACAAAGACAGTATATTTTTAAATATTTGTTTAATGGCATCTTTTTTATGAATGAAGGCCAGTATCAAAGATACTAATATTGATTTCTTTATAAAATTGCCCCCCCCCCCATATTTAACCATTGACTATAGCCATTCAACATTACAGTATAATTGAGAGCTATCAATTTGAACATTTATTAGACTTTAAAAAGTAACTCTAATTTACGTGAACTTAAAACAATCTTCACATAAACCCATTATAATAAATGTCATATTTACCTGTGCCCTTCAGCAGAAATATACAGAAATTGAAATGATCAAACACTAATCGACTAATAGACATCACAGCAGCTGGTTATTAGGTTGTTTTGGCTGTTATTTCTTTAAGAGCTGCTGCTGAATGTGATGTGGATCTGACAAGCATCATATTTTCTCTCAAATCTTTTTACCTTTTATGTGCACTTCAGGTCTTAAAGTCTCTATTAATGAGCTGACGAGTTAAATCGGGTGTGTTAGATGAGGGAGACAGTGCTGGGCTGCTCCAGGACAGTTTTGAAAACCATTTCAGAGACATGTTCTTAAATGTGACTCGTATAAAATATATTACATGCATGCACAGTTTTAAGGCAGCTTTAATTGCCATTTTGGTAACTTCATGACTTAACTGACCACGAGATTGCATGCACGTAGTTTATTTTGCGCTTTGTTATGATATATCTATTTGTTATATGAAAGGATACAGGCTACAGCACGCGCCGGCACCTTTGTGCGTGCAATTGAAGAGCACGCACTTCGAGCACAGTACCGTTTCCGCGCTCGCTTGACTCACGCCTGGCACTGAAGTGAAGAGGAGTGCGCGTCTGAAACACCTCCCGTTCTCAGTCATTCTGCGACTGAATAAATGCACTTCTTCTCAAGAGAAAAAGTGACAGAAGCAGCAGTTGTGAGTGGGGTGGCCAACCCTAGTCCCGAACCTGCGTTAAATATATATATATATATTCATATATATATGAATAGTTCAGATGCAAAAGCCTCTAAGTGCCATCTGAAATTTTCTTCTAAAATTATAATTTTTATCAGGCTGCTATGTTTATGTTCAGTTATTTCACTTTAATGGCAATGAAAAGAACCTATCCATTGGCTTTAAAGTGAAATTACTGAACCTACACACAGGAGCCTGATTAAAATGCTCATTTTTGAAGAACATTTCAAATGGCATTTACAGGCTTTTGCATCTGAACTATTCATACATATTTTCTCCAGGATTCATTGATAAATATAAAGTAAAAAAAATTGACATCTGCTATAAATGACATTTTTGATCCATTTAATGCATCTGTCCTGAATAAAAATATTAACTTCTTCAAAAAATCATTATATTCACACAAAATGTTTAAATGGTAGAGTATGTAAATATAAATCTCGGTAATTCGTTTTCCCAGCGTTACAAAATTACACTCAACTAAGCTCACGTCGTTACTGAATTCATATTGATTTCTTCTCTTGTAATCACATTTATGTCATCATCGTAGTGACACTTATCAATCCATGCAAATGTCTTGATGTGCTTCCTAATTGAGGATTACTGTAGCTCTTACCTGGAGAGGTTTGGTTCTGGTATGGACTGCATGTCTTTGTTGCTCAAGTTCTCCACCACAGGAGAGTCCAGGTTTGCCGAGCTGCTGCTGAGACGATCACTGCTCTCGTATCCAGATTCAGTGCGCTGGAATTTCCAGTTATCAGTCTGAATGGTGAGGTTACTGACGCTTGATTTAACCCTGTCCTCTGATTCCAGCGAGCTCCTGCTGCCCATGTCCTGCCGCTGCTCGTCCTCATAAATCGTCATTAAGCTCTTGGGTTTGCGTTCTTCTCGTCGGACCCACGCCGACTCTTCGCTGTCCTGATTAAAGTTCTGTCTGCGAGAGTTGGGGTAGTTTTGATTATTATCGCTGTTTAGGACGCTGTCGACGTTAAGCGCCTCTCGCATCGGCCTCCACGCTCGATTCGGCCGGCTGTACGTCCGAGAGTCCTGACTGCTGTCGGTCTCGTAGCCGTTGGCCACATCCAGCCTCCGAGAGCGGCTCTCTCCAGGGGGATGAGGCTGGGACTGAGAGCGGGGCTCGTGGCTGTACTGAGTGTTAGTAACAGGCCAGCGCTCGGCTTTCGTCGGACCCCTGCCCTGGCTGCTGTAGAGCCGCGACTCCAGATGCTTGAAGCCGTTCTCCGGAGGTGACAGCGAGCGGGAATGAGGCTTGTCAGGGGAGTCTGGGGAGGAGAAACATACAGTTACAAACAGCTTTTCAGATGCAATGTAAAAAAATATTTATTAAAGTTTTATTTTAAAGTTAATTGGAGGTTTACAAGAAAAAAAATATTTTTTTTACATCAAAATTTTATGTTTAATTAAATGTGTGACTTGTTTCTTTGTAATTATTGGTGAAATTTAGTAGCAATTTCTGCAATTTTAAAACTTAAATTTTTTTCTAGAAGTACACAGTTATCATATGGGTTATCACTTTTTTTTTGGCTGGACCTACTGGTATGGTTTAAAAACACATTAATTAAATTCAATTAAATATGATAAGCACGATTTAAAATTTGTGAATTAAAATAAATGATTGACATTGTTGGGGAGTACGAAGTAAAAAATGTCTGTCATGATATTACGAAGAAAAAAGCATTAAAACAATAAGAATCTTAGTTTTGCATTTTATAATTTATATGCAGTTTTTATATTGTTTCTTTTCAAATAAAAAACATAATATATAAATAATAATGTTCTTTATGTACACGATAATAATAATTACATATACACATACATAACACAATTGCATCCAAAATAAAAGTTTTTGTTTACATAATGTGTACTGTGTATATTTATTATGTATAAATAAATACAAACACATGCATGTATATATTTCAGAAAAATTTTATGTTTATATATTTATAAATAATATAAAATAACAATATAAATATACATAAATATTTTCAAAATATATACTGTATGCGTTTGTATTTATATATACATAATATACACAGTACACACATTATATTATTATTATTATTTTGGATGCAATTAATCACGATTAATCATTTGACCGCACTAATTAATATATATATATATATATATAGTACAATGTAATGTAAATATATTATATTATGTTTTATTCTGTAACATAGAATAAAAAATGTAAAATTTTTCAAGAAGTTTTACTTGTATAATATGTAACAGAATTAAGAAAAATAATATAATATACTTACATTATTATACTTTTTATTTATATACTTTATTTTATTCATTTGTCTCATATACTTATATTTCTTAGCTTTGAATAATTTTATTTAATACTTTGAGAAGGTCAAGGTCAAAAGTCTCTTAAATATCAAATAATCTGACCTTTTTCTGACAAGGTAAGGATTGTTTCCTTAAAACGCAATGATATTTATGAATGAATAATTCATGATGTAAACATTTTTAACACTGAAAAAAAAGAAAACACTTCAGTTGTAAGGATTCAATTCTAAGCTTAAGCATTTCAGATTTGTCAGTCTTTCATATCCAAACTATGTATGAACAAAACTGCATTTAGCTTTCCAAACAAGTATTTTGTGCCGCTGTGTGAACACACAGCCCTCGTTGAGTTTCACATAGTTCATTTAAATTACACAAACACAATTCATCGATGCTGAACCCGCTTCTAGTCTACAGGCCAGAATCATCCATCTCCGACATATGCAGGGTTGCACTAATAGCCTGGATGACCTTTTTTCTCGTGAAGGTGGCAGAGTGACTCTCTTTGGGCAGAACAGTGCTGATATTGGCACTGTTAAATGGCTGACATAGATATTCTGCGGCAGCGCAAATCCATACTGCTCCATAAGTATGGATATAAGCTTGAAAAAACAGCATCATCTCATAAGATATTAATGCAACTTTGACTTGTGGCTGTCACACACACTGAAAAAAGCTAATTATCTGGCATAATTAATTCTCAAACAGCCTACACAGTTAAATTTCTACAAGACGAAGGCAGTCTGGTTTGAGATCTAAACGATGAAGGCTAAAAAGCCATTAGTAAGCCATATACCTACTTAAAAAGGGTAAAGCAAAGTCCAGCAGCTTGGCTTGCAAACCACAATTTTACAGCTTGTGAGCAATAAAAGGAGATGGTAATGTTGGTCACATGACGCCTGCACAATATGGTGAACCGGTTCCACTGCACATGAGAAAATGTCATTGTGATACCCATCAACGTACATCTACATGGCCCAGTCATTATTACCATGCTAGAGAAGAAGTGCACTTTATTGTATCAAATGTACTTCAAACCTTAAAAGTATATATTTTTAAAAATGTACTTGCAGAAAATAGAATATTAATGAAAAAAAGGCCACTTAAAGGGCGTACACTTTAGTGATTGTGTTTCTAAACACGCTTTTAAAAAGTCTAATTTGTTACAATTTCAAATTAAGTTTTACCTTAAAGCACATTTGAAATCACTATGTTTTAATAATCTTTTGTTGTGCTTTAAATTACACTTATTGTGATGTGTTGCCCAACATATTAAAGCACACGTAAAGTGCTTGCGTATAATCTCAGCTGTAGTGTTATTGAACATTACATTTAATATTAATACATTTTAAATTAACTAAATTGCAACTTAATTACAGATTAGGGTTGTGACGGTGAGGAAATTTTCCCACCGGTTAATCGACGTGTGACAACACCGGTAATACCGGTATCACCGCGGGGGCGGGGCGTTCCCTCTTTTCCTCGCTTTTAAAAAGCTTGTAAAAGCGTTGTGTGCGCATTTTACTTTAACTTTCAAATAGCGGCAATACGGAGTAAAGCAATTGTTCGTTTTTAACAAAATACAACGTCAAACTCACTTTAGTGTATATATAAATCATAGAACTTTTATTAACAAAACAAATAAAAACACATCATGCTATAGGGCAGGCTATGCCTAATATAAAATAACAAATAACTTGCATAAAGTTGAATAGGTATACAAAACTGGAAATAAGTAAACATGTATAATATATAACCAAATAAATAAGAAACGTCAAATAAAATAAATAAATGACAGTTTAAATAAAGTAAAAATCAGCAAACAATGTAGAACCAATTAAATAAGAAACGAATGTTTAAAAAAACTTCCAAAATCAGATAAACGGCAAAAGTCAACAGGCTTTTCAAAATCCAAAATATTGCCAAACAGGCGCTTTTGCATCTAGTTTAGAAACTAAACCATCCGCGATCGTCTTGTCTGTCTCGCCTCACTCTTCTTGTCAGTCAGCTCGACTCACTCTCCTCACTGGAGAAATGAAATCTGATCTGTGTGATGCGACTCGCTCGGCACGCTGCATTGAGCAGCCGCATTCAGTTTTTAATTGTAGTGTCTGTTCTTTTACTGAACTAAATGATTTTTATTACTATAAAAAAATCTAAACTACGGTGGGGGTCGGTGACGCGGTGGGCAAGTGACGTAACCGGTGTTGCGGCTTAACACCATGATGGTATCACCATCAGCACCGTCTATCGCAGCAAGCCTATTACAGATGTGTAATTACAAATATATTTAAACACGTACGATTTTTTAGTTAGTTCACTTTAACCATATTTCAATAAACACTTGAAGTAACAATGAAATTGCATGTGAAGCACAGAAAAAATAAGATTTAAAAATCTCTCTTAAGTTCAGCTAATTGCATTTAATATACATTTAAAATAACATGCAATTAAGTGTCTGAAAATGTAAGTATATTTTTTCCATAAGTAGTACTGATTTTTAAAAGTGTACTTTTTTCCACAAGGGATTATTACTTTTAAAGCAATAGCTAACCTAAAATAAAAACTCACTCATATTTAAAATCCGTATGGCTTGTTTTCTTCTGTAGGACACAAAATGAGAAATATCAAAGAATGTACTAGCCATTTTCCCATATAATGAATAGAAAGAGAGACTCTGAATTAAGAAGCTCATTCACTTTCGTTATATGGAAAAGAGCAGCAAACAGATTCTGCAAAATCTCTCTTTTTCTATTTCATATAAAAAAGCAAGCCATACGAGTCTGGAACAACATGAGGGTGAGTAAATTCATTTCTCAGTAAACTATTCCTTTATACTCTCAGAAAAAGGTACTAAACTGTCTCTGGGGCGGCACCTGTTCAAAAGCTACTAATATGTGCATTTGAGGTACTAATATGTAACATTTAAAGTTAAATAAAATACACAGATGCACATTTCAGCTTTTGCACCTTAGAGTATACTGCGCCAGTGACAGCTTTGTACCTTTTCTTCTGAGAAAGTGAGCTCAAACACGTCTTTGAAGCACACATATGCTTCTGACAAACAACTGACGCACACACTTCTCAGCAATCATGCAGTGCTCATCTTTTCTAAAAACAGATGACTTGATCTGATAGACATGTGTCCCTTATCGTTTCATTAGAAAGGCTCCAGCAAAGCCTTTAGGGTCCTTTGAGTGAGTATCACTGACCTCATCCAGCATTAGTGTGGTTATGCAAGTGGAGCTTCTGTGCAAGTGATCCAGTGTGGCGTGCTTGATCTAATCTCTTCAGCAAATTTAATGCGATGTGTTAATGTAGTCATTTTTCCTTTGGAATTAAACTCCGTTATAATAAAACCACCTGGAATCTTGGAAGTGGAGGTGGAATTACATTGCATTATGATATGTGACATGACTATGACTATTCATTTTGATGGCTATGATAGGAATGATTAAACACTGATAAAAATGCACTGATATTTTCACTATAACACAAAGATTCCATCCCCTGATCTCTCCGTTTAGGGTTGCATGATATTCACTTGTAGAAAAATCTAAATATAACTTTATAATGACCCATTATTAATTTGTGCTGGAAAAGCACAAGCGAGACCGTGGAACCATTACAGAGACTACAGTCCTCAGCGTGAGGATGGAGCACACGTTAGCGGTAATCTGTGTTTTTAACACTTCTCGCTGACCTATGTGGCTGTTACATAAGAACCAGCAGAGCACTGTGAGCGAATTTATTCCACTCCAAAGCTCTGCTAAAAGCTCCGAGTGTAACTACCACACATCTGTGCTTCTCTAAAGAGGACTGAGAAGACATTTAAAGAGCTCTGACTGAATACAAGAGAGCAGAAGTGATTCAATTTCCTTCTGGCTATGGTAGCAAAATGTGCTTGTTCAAACCCTGAATACACTACACTACTTGAAAGAAGACTTTTATGCTCACCAAGGCTGTATTTATTTGATCAAAAAATTTTGTAAAAACAGTATTATTGTACAATATTATTACAATTTAAAATAACTGTTTTCTAATTTAATGTATTTTAAGGTGCAATTTATTCCTGATTATTCAGTGTCACATGATCCTTTAATAAGGATCCTTCAGAACATGCTGATTTGCTCCTCAATTATTAATATTGGTTCTTATTATTATCAATGTCAAAAACAATGTTTGCTGCTTAATATTTTTGTGCAAACCATGACAATTTTTTTTATTAAAAGTTCAAAAGAACAGCATTGATCTGAAACATAATTTTTTTTGTTATATTATAAATGTCTTAACTAGGGCTGCCCCCTAATAGTCGACTAATCGTTAGTCGACCAAAATGTAATTAGTCGCAGAAAAAAAAAAAAAAAAACGTTGGCGCTCGCTTATCATTCATCCACCACAAATATGGCTTATCATCTTAAATATGTAAGTATTAGCAACTTTACAGGGCCGCTCAGCCAACCCGATCTCACGAAAGTGCGTATAAATAGTAGGCCAAATAAAAACAAAAACTTGTGGTATTGATACGCAAAAATTTACTTAGACATATGCTACGCAATGGGTTGTGGGGTAGATGCGTATCATATGCACGCGGAAACTGCGTATTATATGCACGCCAAACACATGCGTATCATATCAACGCCAAACTAAATTTTTGCGTATCAATATCACAAGTTTTTGTTTTTATTTGGCCTACTATTTATACACATTTTCATGAGACCGGGCTGGCTGAACAGTCACTGCAGGACAGATGGAGGCGCCAGTGCACTCACTTGCTCTTAAATTACTCCGTAATTTTTGGTCATACAGATAAGAGTAATACATTTTTTTAATCTGTAAAGACTCTACGTTTATTTGTGTGCACTCACAATAACAACAAAACGCGCTTTTGTAAAATAATGAAAGTAAACATGATGCGCTTTCTGCCGTCTCGGTCTCCGTGAACTTGAGCGCGAAACTCTATGTATACTTGCCTTATGTGAAAAAAAATCTATTGAGAGCGAAATGTCTACTTTAAACTAAACCAATTCAAATGGAAAACAAATATTCTCAGATTATGTAATCCGTCTGAAACCGGCGCGTCCACTACTGCAGAGATGACGAGTCAGTGTCGCCGACTTCATCTCTTAAACCGAAACAAAGAAAGCACTTGTTTATCATTGAATTATTAAAATGTTAATGCAATCTCCTTACTGTTTTCCCCTCATAATAATTACTTCTGCCAGTGTGCTGTGGCAAGCCTTATGCGTGTGCTTGAGCGCTTATTAGGCTATGTAGGCAATTAAAGGCTCATTATAATGATGGTTTATTAATAAACGTAAGATTAGTCGACTAATGCTTAAGATGAACGACTACTAGTCGACCAGAAAATTCCTTAGTCGAGGGCAGTCCTAGTCATAATGTCATTTATGATCAATTTAATGCATCTTTGCTTAATAAAAGTATTAATTTCCTCTTCTTTTTTATATATTACTTACCCTACACTTTTAAATGGTAGTGTTTCATAGTGTCCACAAAAATATAAGTAGAATTTATTTTTTTCAACATTGATAAAAAAAACAAAACAAAAGTTTCTTGAGCAGCAAATCAGCATATTAGAATGATTTCTGAAGGATCATGTGACACTGAAAACTGGAGTAATGATGCTGAACATTTTGAACAGCTTTGCATCAAAATAAATGTAAAATATATTCAAATAGAAAACTGTTATTTTGAATTGGAATATCTGACTATTATTTTTACTGTATTTTTGATCAAATAATGCAACCTTGGTGAGCATAAGAGCCTTCTTTCAAAAAAAAATTTATTTAAAAAAATAAAATAAAAATGTCTAACTTTTGACTGGTAGTGTATAAACAATAGTAGAAGAAAAGCTTGCCTTCATAAACTTCACTAAATGGCATTTTATTTAAATATCTTTCCCCAAAACAGTCAAGATGTTAAATTCTTACCCCGGCGCCTCAGTGTTTCTGGTCTCATCTGTGACCGATCCGAGTCCTTCTTAATAAGGTTAATGGGACGGCCTTCTTTCGGCAGCTCCCGCAAAATCTCTCCGAATCGACTCTGAATCGGTTCAAAGCTCATCCTCACTGTAAGACAAACAACACTGATATGGATAAACGTGGCATTTTCACCAGAGATTCCACAAATTTAAGCACAAGGCACTGTTTCAGCAAAATCCATATAAAGGTCACACAGAGGTATTAAAAACTATATAGCTTGAATTAATTAGCTTTACTATAAATTATCATATATCAGGGTCTCAATCTTGTGCTTTTTTTCGATACAGGAATTCTGAAATGTTAATGTAGCCATTAAAAAAAACTGTCAAGTATGTTTTATGGGTCTGCTGTAAAATCCATAAGCAGCACCCTTGAAATAAAGCATTAGAGTACACTTGAAGTTAAGGATCATTGGGATGGTGGGAGAAAGTGTGGCCTCTGCACTCTTTAAATACACCCCTGAGGTTTCTGGGAAGGACAGTAGAGCCTAAGAGCCTTAACGGCAATCAATGTGTGTGTGTGTATATATGTGTGTATATGTGTTCCAGTATTTTTTGCTGTGCTGTAGGAGAAAAGCAGTGAAGTGTTACAAGAGAGCAAAAGAGTGAAAGAGAGACAGATAACAGAAAGAGAAAGGACATTTCTTGCCCTCAAACACACTGCAGTCACATAACGGTCTCTTAGTGAGGGGTTACTAGACACAGCTGAGAAAACATCATGCTATCGGCGATCACATTCACAAACATACTTAAAAGATACAGATCTCCTTCTGAATTGTGTGAAGCTTACTCTTACAGTGGACCGAAGAGATATGTGGACATCTAAGCCACATTAAAACAAACAAAAAATCAAATAAAATGTGGAAAAAAAAAACAAAATTGAACAAAAACAAAAAAGAAAAGAAAAACAAAGCAAACAAAAAAAATAGAAAAAAGCTAAAAGAAACACCCAAAACCAAAGCAAAGAAAAACAAAGCAAACAAGAAAAAAATAGCAAAAAATCTAAACAAAACAAAAGAAAAACAAAAATAAAAAAATAAACCAACACAAAAAACAAAACAAAAAGAAAAACAAAAACAAAATAAAACAACAACAAAAAAAGCAAACAAAAAACAAACCAAAGCAACAAATTAAAATAACAAAAAGCAAAAAACTAAACAAAATAAATGAAAACACAAAAAAACAAACCAAAATAACAAAATAAAAAAGCAAAAAGCAAAACAAAATAAAACAACAAAACTTACCAAAAAAAAATAAAAAAATGAACCAACACAACCCCATACAAAAACAAAAGCAGAGCAAACAAACAAAAACGCACACAAAAATAAAACTACAAAACAAAACAACAACAAATAAACAAAACACCAAATCAACTAAGTGTTAACAATTAAGTGTGGCTTAAGTATCATATAATTGCTAAGGTCACTATATAATATATTATATTCAGACTGCTTAAAAACACAGTCAAAACAATGTAAACATGTCCATGAAATAAACTTATTGCAATGAATTGGCAGAAAGTGGCAGCAAGTTGCTGTCAGAATCGATTAAAACTTTGTTCAAATTGCAGCTGTGCACTTGCATCGCTGTGGACTCTAATAAAAAGACTCATTTTGCACAGCTTTATAAGCTATATCACCAAGCCAAAGGGAATATTTTCACTGCCTAAGGACAGAAAGCCATTACAAAGTTGATCTAAGAGCTTTTAGTGGAGAGGAAACTTCAACAATAAAGAGAGAGACGCATCAAATCATTATGGTTTGTAATAACAGAGGAATGTGGGCTACTGGAGTACGAGGCCATAAGTCTCCCTGCAGGTCTTTCTTGTCTGTGTTTGTCCAAACATCCTTGCGTTGCTCTCTCTGATCCTCTGGGTATTAAAATACTTTGTGGGGGAACAGTGTTGCCTCCTCGAGAGAACATTTTGACCACTGCACTGGCTTTGTTCATGAAAAAAGCATGAGGATTGGGAAGGCTGACACAGGTAAATCAAGACAATGGAAATTTTGGGGTATTTTGGGTCTAGGGTTGTTATTATAGTTAACTGAAAATAAATAAAATTTAAAAAAAGAATTTAATTTTTATTTTTAAATAGATTAAATATTTTACTTAAAATGAAATCAACCTTAACTGAAATTAAAAGGTAAAAATACCTAAAACTAAAAAAAGTTTTTCACTTGAAATAAAATAAAACCTTAAACTATATATATATATTTTTAGTTCATTTTTATGTACAAAAATAACTGAAACTTTATATACACACAAACAAATAAATTAATAAATACATACAACAGAATTTCTTAAACTTTAAAACCAAAATTAAGTTTTTATTTTACCTAATTCAAACTATTAATAAAAACTGTACAAGTATCTCAGTGATACTAAAATAACACTGTTTGTGTCTTTTATTTGAACAATCTTGAGCGGGGAAATTCATTCTTGACATTCAAATAAGAATTTATTTTTTTTATCATTATGTTGTTACTAGGGCTGCACAATTAATCAAATTAAAACAGAAATTGTGACAGTGACAACGTTTACATGGACATCAGTAATCTAATTACTTACCTTATTCTAAATAAGCCAATATTATGATTATGGTGTTTACATGAGTGGCTTTTAGAATATTCCTTTCATGTTCCCGTTTTACATGTTATAGTACATAGTTCGATTAATGGCACACGTCATTACGTCCCCAAGTGACGCCATCCGACGTCCCCTCCGGAATTTCACACATAAACATATAGTTCGTCTTCGTGATGATGCCATGTACAGTTTTGGGTGTTTCATTTTTAATTTTATGAAAGCTTCAAGCGCAGTTAATTATTTGTACGTGCATACAGACGACGGCGGGGGTTGAAGCTCTTTTATTTGCCGTCAAATGGTTGACCACTGCTGTGTGTGTATCCTGTCACAAAACGCGGCGAAAAGTCCTACACGACGGTAATAATGTGATTAACTCTTTCCCCGCCATTGACGAGTTATCTCGTCTTTTAGAAGAAACCGCTTCCCAGCCCGCCAAAGACGAGTTTTTACGGATTTTCGTGTTTTCACTGTTATGCACTCGGGGGCGCGATTACACATCTTCTGAACGAGGACAAAACCTCCCGAACAAAACCACACATGAACAGAACGAAGAAACGAGCGATCTCTATGTAAACAGATGCATACGAAAAATGATGCGATCATCAGCAATAGACAGCATATAAATGAAAACAGCATAATGTTACGGAGTAAAATGTTGATCCAGGAAGTGGTATGTCTGTGCAAGCTTTGGAGGTGTTGATGGAAGCGACTTACTGGATTTATGCTTTGATAATCATACTGAATATTATCCAGATGTAGTTTTTGATAAAAATTTGATTTTCTCACCTTTTTGCTCAAAATCATGCATTTTTTATGAAACCTACCTATATTCAAGTGTTGATAAAAAAAAAAAGCTTTAAGCTAGAATAAAACAGATTTTTTTTGTTTAAAAGTAGAGGCTCTGATCTTTATTTTGGTGCATTGCATATTCAAATATTCATACAGCAAAATATACTGAAGGCTATGAAATTTTAGTGAAAATCATCTGGAAATCGCTGGCGGTGGCTGGCAACTTTTTTCAAAAATGCTGGCGGGGAAAGAGTTAAGGTGTTTACATGTCTATTCTGCACTTCAGTAATGGGACTAAAATAGGAATACTCCACGTGTCTCAATTTGATTTCTGTTTACTTCGATTATGACTTTAGCCGGATTAAGGTAATCAAAAATCTCTGTTTACATGGCAGATTCTTAATCAGAGTATTGTCTTAATCGTATTAAAATCGGAGTATTGTTGGCCATGTAAACGTACTCATTATCTTGCAATTTGTACAAATTAATGCATGTGAATAATAGTCCTAGTCATAACCAGCAAGTCATAGTGAGTTGCAGTAATAGCAATTTTACAATTCACATTGTTCAATATTTGAGTGATTTAAGTGCTTTTATCTCTTTTTTTATTTTTAATTAAAGTTTATAAAAGCGCCTTTATATCTAGCAATTTGTAGAAATTAATGAATGTAGTGCAAGAAAGTAAATAATAGTTCCAGTTATAACCAGCAAAGCATTGTGAGGTGCAGTAATAGCAACCATATCATTTGAGGTGTCAGTGTTTTAAGTGTTTTTTTTTTTACCTGGTCCTCTGCCGCCGCTGGTCTGGTTACTGCCACGACTGAACACAGAGAGAGGCTGAGTCTTCTGCTTCGGAGTACCATGATTTGAGAAGAAAGCAGTCAAGTTCTCTCGCGTCAACTCCAACTTCCTTCCACCCGGTATAGGAGTTCCTGAAAGAGACACGCAAATCATTTCATTTTTTATGCACTACTATTTCACTGTGTTTGTTCATATGCACTACTGTTATTTTACTTTATTGCACAGCTTGCTGAATTCATTTATTTTGTACAAATGTACACTTTTTGGTATGTCACCAAAACTTGAAAGAGGCAGAGAGGAAGAAGGGAGGGAAGGAAGAAAACACCCACAGTTTTCAAAGAGAAAAGACATTCTGATTTAATTTTGTACTGTAAAATTAACATTTTCACCCCAAAAATAAAATAATAATTTTAAAGGCTTTAATACCTAAACACAACAACATTTCCATCACGTTTACCAATTCGAACACAAAATAATTTTGTTATCTCTAAATGTCTTTGATTTGTAGTGAATCATCACTATTAGCGGTGCAATGATTTACATTTACATTAAGCACTAGTTAAGCATTGACTCAAGATTTAAGTTTATTCGTTACATACAGTTATATACAGAATACAACTTGCTGTGAAATGCAAACATTACATTGCATATGCATCAGTCTAAAACAACAAACAATGGTCAATTAGTGCTAATTGATACTAACAATTGACAGATTCACATTGACATTATCCTCTCTTATAAAATAAACTTTCTGAAGACAGAACTGTATTTATTAACTACTTTATATTTTGGAATATTATATTTCAAAACATTATTTAGTTTTTATTTTATAGGGTTATTATATTATTACATTATATTTAAAAATATATATTTATTATATTTTGGAACACTTTTTTTTTTCAGGACGCCAGCATCTGAAATTTCTGGTGCTTAAACAATTATCTGTGATTATTCTCATTTTTAAGCAGAATGAAATATTTTTATTAAATGCGTTAACATTTTTTTGTTAAAATGTGAACTCAATACAACTAGTGCTGTCAAACGATTAATCGCATCCATAATAAAAGTTTTTGTTGCATGCATGCATGTGTGTGTATTTATATATACATAAATAATATACACAGTACACACACATATATTACATAAACAAAAACTTTTATTATGGATGTGATTAATCGTGATTAATTATTTGACAGCACTACATATAACTGCATTGAAACATTTTTTTAACCTGGTGCTTCTCCATTGACTGAGCTCTTATTTTGGGTAGCACTGCTGTTGGTCCGCTGGGCCTCGTCTGTTACCACAGCACTGCCATCAGGGTTTGAGTAAAACAAGAGCAAGGGCTGGAAGTGACCTTTGATGCATTTAGTGACCACATCTTTCCATCTGGATCCCACCTAAAATAAAAAAAATAAAAAAAACCTTACCAAAAATGAGCTCTTTAGCATACAGAGAGCAGTTACCTGAAGTGTTAGATTATTATTAGATGTGAAGGCTTGCACGCTTCAGAGGTAAGAGTACGCAGGCTGCACTGCAAAAGTCTCTCCAGGCAAACAGATGTAACCTTCCTTTTTAATTACCAGACACAAGAGAATGAAAGAGCGAGCAGTGCTTTCTATTAAAGAAACACAATTATCTGATCAGTCAAAAAAGAGCAGGCAAGATTGTAAAGGAGATGAATTAAGACGCGCTTAATCAACAAAACAGCTGTTCTCTTGCATTGCGTACTGGACTGTCTCTCTCTACACTGTAGGTTTGCACACACACGTCTACTGTAGTGCACATATTGTGTGTGCGAGGGTGATTTATCTTGGCGGTGGAGACAGGCAGCACCAGCCCAGTGAGAGCTGAAGTGCACACGCAAGCACACTACTGATAGATCCACTACACTGCATCGCCACTTATTTCACATGTGCTGGCTTTGGGAATGTTTGCTTAATGACACAGCATGAAAGCCAGGACTTCTGGGTAGGCATTATGAATTGTGTACATATATAGACAGAAGGACTAGATAACACGAAAGTCTAGTCTTACCTCCTTGACAGTGGCATCATCAAAGAAAACCCATTTGGATGATTTGGTGTGGTACGTGAAGGCACAGTAATGTCTGCTGGAGTAACAGATCATTCCCACCAACAGCAGCTCGCTCTTCTTTGCACGCTCGTCTGTGACACGGTAAAAGAGCTGCAAAGACATAACAAAATGCAGATATTTAGACAATTATAACAAATATCTTACAGCACAGTTTTCTACTAATATTGAAAGTTCAAGGTAGTGATGCACCAAAATGTTGGCAACCAAAAATATCTGGCCTAAAGTGCAAAAAAATTTATTAAATTAAAATGTTAAACAAATAAATAAAAACAAAGTGTATATATATATATATATATATATATATATATATATATATATAGAGAGAGAGAGAGAGAGAGAGAGAGAGAGAGAGAGAGATTTGAGACAGACAGACAGATTGTGCATCTCATAGAATTGAGATGCACAATGAAAAAACATGATTTTTGAAAATTGTTAAAAACGGAGTTATCTGTTTTTGCAAATTAACTCTTTATATGATTTATACAGCATTTCTTAAGCTACGTATGCTAGACTGCAGTCTTCTGAGTTAAAATCATTTGGTCAAAGATTTAGAAGGCAGAAGTAGGTGACGGAACGCAGAAGGATGCATTTGCTAAAGCAATTTTAAATGAAGCAGCTATTGCATAACCAACACTTTCTCCTGCACCCCTGGTTCCTGAATAGCTGGTTTTCTTCGGAAGCTCGAGAAACAATGGATTCCAGGCATTTTCCTCTGAAGTCTCCACCATCACAGGGAGAACCACGGAATGAATTAAGGCCTTTGTACTTGTCCAAGAGGTTTCGGCTGAGGCAAATCCAATACTGGAGGGTGGTAACATGGAAGTGGGCGTAAAGAAGAATGAATGCTATTTAGCATCTGTGACGATCGCTTCGAGTAAAATAACTGATTCTTCCCATCTAGATTCTTGCGAGGTCACCTAGACTCTTAAAAATAAAAGTTCTTCACTGGCATTCCAAGAACTTTAAAATTCCATGGAACATTCCATTCCATTCCAAATGTTCTTTATATTTGGAAAAAGGTTCTATAAACTAATAATTTGTTCTTTGCACTAAGAAAAAATGGCTCTTTTAAGAACTGTTTGCTGAAAGGTTCATTTGGGAAGCCAAAATGGTTCTTCCATGGCATCACTGAGAAAACCTCCTTTGGAATATTTATTTTAAAGTGTATAGATGCATTTTATCCATCTGAAATGGATGCAGCTGGCACAAACAGAAGGGCTGTCTGGTGGTAAACAGGTCTCAAGCATGGCTTTATACTCCCACACATGAGGCTGGTAATGAAGGCCATCTACACACTCGGAAGTCAGATGACCTTCCACTGCAGTGGCTTTCTGGTCATCAGGCGTGGGCTATTCAGGCACTGATGCAGTTACACAACCTCAGTCTTATGAAGAGGATAAACGTCTGCTTTATTTCACACATATGGTCCATGGCACCACCATTAACTGGCCTCAAATACACCAGCACCAGATGTGCTACAAAAATAAATAAATAACTGTAAAAGAGCGACTGTTGCGACGTCAGGATCTTTTTATAGCCATTTAATCTGGATGGAGGCTTCCTATTAATTCTATATTTTATATAATAGCAGGAAAAAGATGTTCTTTATTGGAATTCTCCACAAAGATTCAATCCTCACTGACATATAAACATCGGAGTAACCTACACGTTTGATTAGCAGATTCTTGTAAATTTAGATCACCGAATTCCAAAGCCTTAAATATGGACAGTAACCTTACCAACTATCATATTTTTCTCTAATAAGAAAAAAGTACCATGGTAATGTAATGTGTTTTTAGACATTTACCATGGTACTTTTTTGTGGGATTCGATTGGATTTTTTAACGACACTGAAAGGGATAGTCCACCCAAAAATGAAAATTATGTCATTATTTTCAACCCTCATGTCTCTCCAAACTTCCATGACATAAACCGTCAATAATTTTGTTCACCATTGACTTCCATTGTGTTTTATTTTCCAATGTATTTGTATCTTATTTTTGTATTATAAAATATCACCTTCAATATTACACAGAAGAAAGGATGAATAAATGTTAAAAATGTTAATTTGGGTTGAACTAAAATTAAGTACCATGTAAATACACTGTAAAAAAATGTTTTATAAGAAAATCATCAGACGTCGACTGATGTATCGGTTTTGCCGATTAATCGGCACCGATGGTTGATTGCTGGAACTATCGGTCATCGGCAAAAATCCATGCCGATAGTTTTCCAGGTTGCATCCATTGCTGGAGCGGCTGAGAAGGGTTTGCTGTCATTATACGGTGCGAGAGCGGCCTCCAGTGGTTGAAATTACTGACAGCACGTGCTATTTGTTTAGACACGTGATACTGCACACTGAACAGAGCGGGAAACTTCAGACGTGGATTTAAATGCACCCAACAAAAAATCCTGCCGCGCCACAGAGCGCCATTCACATAGTTTTCCATTAAATTACATTATATTTGTCCCGAATCGTTGTTAATGTACATAATGAATTGTGTATTGTGCATTTTTAGTGAAACGTGCATTTTCGAGTTGAACGCGACGCGTCCGGAGTGTGTGTGTGATAAAGTCCAAAAGAAAGTCCATTTGTAACATTAAGATTAATGAAAGCTGTGTAAGTATTGTTCCTTGTTAGAGTGTGTTAATTTCAACATTTACTATTACTATTATTACTACTACTACTAGTATGGTTCAATACTGTTTTTTTAATAAAGCACTATTTTAGTTTTTGTTCAGTATCCATTTTAAAAACTATCGGTTAATTAATCGGTATTGGCCAGTGTGGTCCAACCTAGCTATCGGCATCGGCAAAATCCACTATCGGTTGACCTCTAGTATATTCCATGGTTTGCCAACCACAATATTTTTAGTAAGGACATTTCAAGACTATTTAGTCCTTAGCACATTCACATTTATACCAAACAGACCTCTGAAAGTAAGTATAATCAAGGGAAGCACTTTCAACCTTTGTTTTTTGTTCACATCTTTTTTTCTTCATAGATGTTCTACAAAGCACTGTTTCATGATCCGCTGCTGTACTGTAGTGCTTTTGTAGTTTGGCTCTTTAGGACGCAACCAGGTGCCTTGCTGAAATTAAGCAGGTGGAGTGCAGTGTATTTATTAGACGTCAATCTTACCCCTGAGAGGTTGAGGTGTGGTCCGAGAGATCGGATGACGTCTTCAGTGAGGTCTGACTGTTCTGAGTCCCACACAAATCCGATGGTCACGATTTCTGGAGAGTTCATCAGCACGCGCCGGATCTTGATTCTCTGCCCACAGTTACTCTGTTGAGGCGATGGAGATAAAACATAACTGTTTGTTATTATGTTCTTTAACACCATATGTTGAAAACCATATCTTATTACATTTATTAGTATTACATTTTTAATATTTATGAAGTTATTTAAGACAACAACAACAAAAAAAAGATTTTAGAAATGTTTTTCTTTTAAAAATACTTCAAATCAATAGTTGAAATCATTTTGGATGATTCTGATTATCATTGAGATACTACTATAGTTGTAATTCATATTTTGAATTAGTCTATATTTTTATATTTGCCATTTTCATTTCAAATGTAGTTAAAGTTTAGAAATTGTTGTGTTTTTGTCTCTCTTTTTTTTTTTTTAAGTGAGCAAAAAAATAATGGCTATCATACATTTTAACCATGATTTACAGAAGACACCCACTAAAATGTCAATGTAACAATAGTTCATATAGCAAAAAAATTTGCCAGGCATATATAGAACTACAATCAGATGATATTAAAAGACTCTATATAAGGATCACAGTGTAGCCCCTAAAATGCTAATTAACTGTAATTTTACATATTTGTCACTATCCTTAAAACCACTAGGTTTTACCCATCTATCAACAAGAAGTTATTAATCATTTAAAATATAATAACATTTATTTAAAATTCACTTTTTCATTTATATATTTTAATAAGTACAGGTCAGAATGTAGTTTCATTTTTACATAACTATATCTGCTCTGCTGAATGATGAAGGGACATCGTTTCACCCATTTTGTTTTTAAAAATGATTTGAAACATTAAAAACAGACGCTTAACTTGCATTTAATATGATTTTTGATGTATATAAAATTACTTTTTTTAATTTAATTTGATGCAGACCCCAAAACGGGACGTCTCGTCTTTGACCCACTTATCATTTTATGTCAACATCATTTTCATTAATTATTATTTTAACTTTTTGTTCTAGTTAGTATATGAAGAAACTAATTGAAATGAAGTTACATTAGAAATGTTGCCCTGCATCTAGCTTAAATAAAAAAGGTATTTGTGTATTTTATTTCAAGTAACAGCATGCTTTTATGGTTTTAGCTTCAGTAAACTATAATAACCCTTTTGTGACCAAACATTTTACTACTCCAGAGAGACACATGAATGTTGTGCTGCTTCTGGCAGTGACTATAGTAGGATGTAACTTCCTACTTTGCCTGTTTAAAAATGCAGAATGTGTTGATATGTGAGAGGAACGTTCCGGTCTCAGGTTACATCTCGCTCATCTTGTCACATGAAGGTGTTACACTAGCAGAATATCAGATAAGAAGAGTGTACGCGTGTGCTTTCGTCCTTGAGTGTGCTTGATGACAACACATGACAGAAACAGCTATCATACTATATGCATGACGGTATCCTCTCAGGGCTGAAAGTGCTAGTAAATTCCACATTATTAATCAACATGAGCAGCCACCTACCGGACAGTTACGCAGATCTCCAACTGTGCTGGCAGCTTGAAGCAACTCCCCAAACCTTTCATCTCTCTTCTCCAAGACTTGCTGGCTGGAGCGCAGAGAAAGAGGAAGAAAGAGAAACAGAGATAAAAAGCAGTTTTTAATAAGCAAAGCACAGGTATTTTGATCTTTTCAGGTCAATATACCAACATAAACATTTAGGGCTGGGTGATGAAACAATATCATATTGAGACACGTTAAAATTTAGTTCGACTTTTTTCCTTGAAATTGATCAATCTAACAGTAGAAATAAATGTGACTACAACCAGTCAGTGCTTGTTGCTAATATGCAAAGTCTGTGAACCAATGGCGCAGTTTCATCTGATACACAAACTCAAACACATATGATGCCTGCGGTGTTTTTAGCATCTGCGTCTCAATATACGAGGACAGGAACTTCCTCTCCAGAGCTGCTCTGAGAGTCACTTCAGCAGCTTCACATAGTTTAATCTGAGAAAAACTACGGTCAAAAAAAAAAAAAGGTAAAACTAAAAGACCTTCATGACAACCTGTCAAAATAAAAGTCAGGTTCAACTTGAAGAAATTATGACAGAAATATATGTTACTATTGTATACTGAAATATAATTCCCAAGTGATACTAATACTAAAACTAATAATAATAGTAATTTTTATTAATTTTACAGTTATAATGCTGTTATGCAGCAACGTTTTGGTTGGAAACTGGAAAGGTTTTGTAAATTTATTATATTTTCATTTTAAAAGACTGATTAAATTGATTGGTTAAAGTTTTATTAATTCACTTAAATAGACACCATTATTAATGGTAAATTTGTACTGAATCATAAAACAGAATCCAGGAAGAAATAAAATAGAAACTGAATTTAGGGGAAAATAATGTCTTTACATTCATTTTCAAGGTCTAACAAACATGTCATTAATGGTAAATGAATATCGTGATAAATATCGATATTGTATGATATGTAAAAAAAATATTGTGAAAATATTTTTGGCCATATCGCCCAGCCCTATAAACGCATCTTGAGTGTCTGGCATGATGGTGCTAGCTTACCAGAGGGCTGTGGTGGACACATAGTGCACAAGCTCAGTGAAGGGTAGCGGGTCGGAGGACGCACCACAGCTCCTACACACAGACTGCAGGGGAAAACACACACACACACTAATGTGTCATGAGTGAGGAAGTCATGACTGCTATATTATGTAAAGCCTTAACTACACTACTGTATGTAATGTAAGAGATGTCTCAACACACATGCATTGTGTACAACTCAAGGGTGTAACCAATGTAAAAATTCCTTTTAGAGACAAAACAATTATTTCTTGTGTCTAAACAACAAATCTCAAATTGCTTTTTATGATTGTATCTCATTTGTACCAGTTTTGCCTTGGTTTATGTATTATGCAAGATAAATATTTACTGGACATGTACGATGGTACTCCGAAGAACCAAATAAATACTATAGTACATAAATATGGTAGTTTGAACCAATATTGTATATCAGTTTGGCGTCAATAAGATTAAGTCTCTAATGCTCACCAAGGCTGCATTTATTTGATCAAATATAGAGTAAAAAAAAAATACAGTAGTTAAAAAAAACTGCAGAGCTAGAGCAAGCTGAGCATTTGTGGTTAAAAAATGAATAAATATATATATATTTTTTTCAGAAAATGACAGATAAGACCCTTATTGCTCGGCTGGGATCATGTAGAGGCCTTTGAAGCTGCTCTGAAACTGCATTTTGGAAGTTCAAATTGCTGGCCACCATTGAAGTCCACTATATGGAGAAAAATCCTGGAATGTTTTCCTCAAAAAACTTAATTTCTTTGCGACTGAAGAAAGCAAGACATGAACATCTTGGATGACATGGGGGTGAGTAAATTATCAGGAAATTTGTATTCTGGAAGTGAACTTATACTTTAATATTATAAATGTCTTTACTGTCACTTTTGATCAATTCAATTCATCCTTGCGTCATAAAATATTAACTTATTTCACAAAGAAAAAAAAATAAAAATTTTACCAACCCAAACTTTTCAAGGTTAGTGTATATAATGCATTTACACTATATAGTGTATATCATGTTATTACCATCTAATACCATTTTTTATCAGGGCTTTGCTCTCAACTCTCAGAGGAAGAAGCGAGAGGGAATGTAAATGCCTCTGTAGTATTCCCTGTGAGTTTTCCCGACTGATTGAAAACTGCCATCACAGGACAGCGATCAATTACTCGCATGAGTGCACGTGTAGTATTAAAAAGCTACAATACCTGTTCATAAAGTGCCATAGCAAACTTCTGATGAGTGATACAGGACTTAGACGTGCAGGCATCAGTCTCAGCATCGGGCGCGATGTGCAGGTGAATCCTTTCTAAAATGTTCTCCTATGAAAAATATAAAAGCCTGCCATTTGTATGTGTCATAAGGCATTTTCCACAATCATTTCATGACGTACTCCAAAAGACAAGACTAATAATAACATTAATATATAAATTAGTGCTTGTCTTTAACTATTTAATTAACTAATTAATGACACATTTTCTTTAATCATGATTAATCGTACCTAACCTAAAAATGTGTAACCATAAATATATTCTAACACTGAACCTCCAAATTAATACAGAAACATAAAAATATATAAAATACATAATATATAAAAATGTGTTATATATACACACACACATTGATAGATAGATAGATAGATAGATAGATAGATAGATAGATAGATAGATAGATAGATAGATAGATAGATAGATAGATAGATAGATAGATAGATAGATAGATAGATAGATAGATAGATAGAGACACTGAATCTCCAATATAATTTTTATAGTTTTATATTCCTAATCATAAATATATTCTCACACTGAATCTCCAAATTAATACAGAAACAACATAAAGGTATATATATAATATGTAAAAATACATATATAAAATATATATTAAAATATTAAACTATATAAAAAAATCCCCCCAAAATTATCACATTGAATCTCCAAATTAATACAGAACAAAAACAAAGATGGTACATTTTTAAGATTTATTTTTTTAACAGCATCTTTTTAGTAAGAACTATGAATACTGTGTAACAACATAATAGTACAATTTGTGCAATCATTTCTAACATTTAACAAAAAGAGAAAATAAATTTGATATGTGGAAAAAGGATGCTGCATTAATTAATTTGTTAAAGCATTAATAGCAGAAATTACACACACACACACAATATATAAAATAAACAAAACTTTATAAACCATTTAATTAATTGTGCTAGAGATTCATAGACATGAAAACAACTATTTTTTGTTTTACATTATCTAACCACATTGGATTTGTTTGGGCTGGTACAATGATACCTTGGGCATTAAGTGAATGCACTCTAAGCTTTAGTAATTTTCTCCAAGCCTATTATCTGCTTAAATACACCCTTTCAAACCTGAGAACCGTGAGCACATTCAGTAACACCAACAGAACCGAGACAATTTGCCGTTTTGAAAAGAGGCTAGATTAATTTTATGTTTCTACATTACAGATTAGCTTATTTTAAACAGCCCTGGCTCAGGGCATCTTGTACAAACAGACAAAAGCATAGGCTGCATCTACCCCAGCGCTGATAAAGAGCCTGCATTGACAGAGTAGTGTGAACGCATCTGTGCACTCCAGGCTTGCATTGATAGAGATCCTTCATTGATTGTGTTGTTTAAGGGAGCACTGTAAATGGACTTTTACTGAGATAATGACAGACTCTCCACAGTCCTGCTGTGCTAAACAGAAAATGATTACAGGTCCCAGTGCGAAGCAGGTTTAATGCAATTAGGTAGCCCTAAGAGAAATCCTGCATATACCGAAGGGGTGAACATGCTTACTTCAGCTTCCTTCAGCTTCCAAGGCAAGGGTGTGTGATCTGTGCCGTGCATAATGCACCTAATGGCAACTGAGCTTAATTTAGAAATCAGTTTTCCATTTTATTTCTCTATAAAAGACAACAATAAAAAATTACCACATTAAATTAAGATGGGATATTATCCATGTATGCTTAAGTGACAAATCGTCTAAAATTTGGAGACGTCACATTGCCAACCAGCAGACTGCAAAATCAAAAAGACTGATAAAATTAATAAGATGTTTATACTGTTTAATTTTCTATTTACATTATATTGCAAGCATTACGGTGCTCTAGCAAATGTCTGATATGTCGCATTGATTGTAATGCACTTTTTATTTGATCACTGTGTTTCCTAAAGAGAGTGATATATACAGGTGAATCTCAATAAATTAGAATGTCGTGGAAAAGTTCATTTATAACTCAAATTGTGAAACTTGTGTATTAAATAAATTCAGTGCACACAGACTGAAGTAGTTTCAAGTCTTTGGTTCTTTTAATTGTGATGATTTTGGCTCACATTTAACAAAAACCCACCAATTCACTATACTTCATAAGACCAATAAATAAAACACTTTCCAGAAGGTCAACAATTCACAAAAAAATTTACACAGCAAAGGTGGCACAAAAGCGCTTCTGAATTGCCATTTAGTCTTTGCACAGTCTGTTTAATGCTGCTGTGAGCCTGCTTAAAATTCAGCATAAAGATGCAATGCCACATTAAAGCTAGACTAAATTTTGCCTTCTCAGATCCACCTCAGCCCCTTACTATCAAAACATAGTTGTGATTGCTGTGCAAATGCATTTATGCCACCTCTGAGCAGCATTAAACATTCTGTATAAAGACTTTTAAAGTACTTTTAAAGACTTCAGAAGTAATTCTGTGTGTAAATTTGGCATAGGTGTCTTACACAGACTGTTTAATGCTGCTCAGAGATGGCATAAATGCATTTACACAGCAATTGCAGCTTTATACAGTACTTCGATACTAAGGGTCTGAGGTAAGTCGGAGCATTCATAATTTAGTCTGGCTTTTATGCAGCACTGCATATTTACACAGAATTTTGAGCAGGCACAGAGCAGCCTTAACTCAGATGCCTCTTGAAGACAGCATCATTTTCTGCCTACTGTTTGTAACAGCCTTCCTGTTAAAAATGTGCTGCAAAATCCTGTCCATGTAGTGAGGTCCTCTAAATAACACATCTTTACACAGCGGAGTTAAGGCTGCTCTGAGCCTGCTCAAAATTATGTGTAAATATATAATGCAGCACAAAAGCCAAACTAAATTAAACTTGCTTCGAGCCACCTCAGCCTCTAGTATGAAAGCATACAGTTGTATTTGTATCTGTGTAAATGCATTTACGGCACCTTAAACCGGCTGTGTAAAGACACTTAAATGCCACTTCAGAAGCAGCTCTGTGCCACCTCTGCAATGTAAATTTGGCGATAGTGTGCTTCTCTTCTAATGTATCTTTTTAAACGCCTACAACTTTATTTTGCATGATGACTTCAAAGTGCCAATCTTAAAGTCAACATTATTTCCAAAGGCCATGCATTATGTCTTAGCCTCTTCTTATTGGCCAAGAACTCCATGTCATTATGAACACTTCCGTACAAAATCACCAATGAGAGGAGTGGCTAAACATTCAAAACTGTGCAAAAGTCAGTAGGTCAGCTCATCCAACTGGTAATGCTGCGCTGAATAATGCTGTTAATGTTTAACCTTTTTTTACGACTTTGCACCAACCTGTTTCTATGCAAGCAAACAAGCAAGCTGATGTTATCCAACAGGGACAGACTGACATCATGACAATGTCTTGGCAAATGCACAGACTGAAAATATGCAAATGCAGCTACTCTGTTGCTTACACTTGAAAATCAGTATGATGTCTATCAAATATGGCCTAGCAATGCAAAGCAATGGCCTTGATACCTTAAATGTTAGGATGAGTCCATCTCGACCCGATAATGCTGCACTAAAGCATAGCTGTTAAGTCAGGTCATTTTCAAATATATAGTATATTCTGTCTGTAAACTGTACATATTCCAAAGCAGCTTTACAGTAACAAACAGGAAAATATCAATGTAAATATAGCAAAAATAACCAATTCTAAAAATATTTCAATTTTCGCTGCAAGGTAGCTCCACACAAGACAAAAGTTTCCTTGTTCAGCTCAATTTAGTTTTCAATGCAGCTCAATAACTGCTAGTGTTGCAAAGTTAATCAATTATGAAACAAATTGGATTCAGATATAAAGCAGCTTCATAGAAGACAATACGAATGCCACAATTCGGTTCAATTACAGTGTCAGTTGTAATTCAATTCAGCTCAATAACGGCAAAGTTCACAAATTATAAAACAAAATAGGATTTAGCTAGAAGAAAATCTCCACAGAAGACAACATTGTCATTGTTTAGCTTAATTTAGTTTAATGTTAATTCAATTCAGTAACTGAAGTCGTTTCATATGAACTGTACATAAGACAGTAGCAGCTCAATTCAGTTCAAGTTTTGCTCTTCTCCGATAGTCAGTGCAGTCAAATCAATAATATTGCTGAATACTTTTAAAAGCTACACTGTTGTATAAATGACATCCTCCTTATTTTGTTTTGTCGTGCATCTTCATTGCAGCCATAAAGGCTGGATAAAGCTGGATAAAGCTACCTGTTAGCAATCCCATTCATCTTAACAGACAGATTAAAATCCATGTGGATTCTGGAAAGTCCAAGGTAGCATATTTTTTCAGTGCCCAGGAATGATTTTGACAATGCGCCAGCACTAGAAATGGCTGTATTCTTTGGGCAGTGTACTTATTACTGAACATTCTGAAACACACCCATGGATCTGAAAGCATGCTATCCACCCTAACTGACGCATTAGAGGAGTTTCACTCAGAACTACTCACACAAAAATAAATTAAATCTCAATAATTTCACATTTTTGGTTGACGACAACTTTTTTCTGCTTAGCGACTGAATGCAAAGTATTTTCTTCATCATATGGCCTAATAGTTACAGTCGCATTACTTAAATCTCACAACTCTTTACCGGGTTATCGTTTCTAGTAGGCCTGTAACACTCAAGCAGTGTCAATTAAATGTTTTTTTTTTTGCAAGGATTTCTATGAGATCAGGCTTGAATAATGCATTCCTCTGATTCCAATATTAAAAACAGAACAGGACATTAAGTTTCCAAAAATGTTCCACACACTGTTTGGTTCTTGGCTTGAAGTTTGTGGTGTGGAGGTCTGGAGAAGATCAAGGGTGGAACTGTATGATTTGGTGAAAACAGAGCCAAAAATAAGCACATGTGGGAGGTTGTTTGTTACTTTTGGTTCTAATTTCAGTTTCTGATTATCTGGTTATAGTTTTCTCAAGACCCTTTAAAAATAAAGGTTCCAAAAAGTGTTTTCCACAGCGATGCCATAAAACACTTTGGCCATTTTTGGTTCTCCAAAGAAACTTTCAGAAAACGGCTCTTAAAAGAACCCTTTTTTCTAAAACATTTTAATCTAAAGAACCTTTTTCCACTATAAACAACTTTTTGTGCAATTGAAAGGATCATTGGATGTTAAGGTTCTTATAAACCAATAAAAAAAAAAACTAACTTTTTTTACCCTCTGGTGTGTCTTGGGTTGCGGTCAAAAATGGCCGAATTTTCTTTTTGAATAAAATTTATGTACTATGATCTAGTTAAATTTTTTTTATATTTTGTATTTTTTGGTGGATTGTATGGTACTAAATTCTATTTATGCAATAGTTATGGTCCATTTATTACCATTGACCATAATTACCACAGACTTCAGTTCAGTCTCTTTTTTAAGGAGACACTTTAGCAGGCAAATTATTGCTGGAAGTTTGAAAAAAGTTGTAGAAGCTTAAGTTTATTATTATCAAAAATGCACAAAAATATTATTTAAAACTTTATATGAAATGTATATTGTCCATGTTTTACTCTACAACTGTGACAAAATCGACGCCATAAACCTAAACAAGTTGTGTTCCAAATTTGACGTTGTCTCAAAAAATGAGCTTTCATCGGCGCTGATAGCCTTGTGGGCAGCGCGCCGACATACAGCACCGTTCCGAGTCCGAATCCCGACTCAAGGACCTTTCCCAATCCCACTCCCTATCTCTCTCCCACTTCCTGTCAGTTCTGATCTGTCCTAATCACAAGGCAAAAATGCCACAAAAAAAGAGCTAACAGTAAGATTTTGTTTGTGTGCAGTACCAAAGATTTCCACTTGATGAAATTGGTTTCCCATTCATTTCCAATGATAATTTCCAGTAGCATTTAACATTTTTGAACCATTATTTATCTATTTATTTTCTCTTTTGTGTGTGTGTGTTCACATAGCAAGTGCCAAAAACAAGTTCTGCACCATTCCGATGAAGTAAAAAAAAACGAAAAAACTAGTCTATTATCGGTATCGGACCCGATACTGAGCTCCTGTACTCGTTAAAATGCCCCGATACCAAACGCCGATACCACACAGCATGTGATAAGTGCCATATTCAGACAGTGAAACACCGACAACAGAACAACAGACAAAAGAATGGAGTTATTAGAGATTAAGGATGTCTACGAAGTATATGTATGCAATGAATATAATGTTAAACATTCAGTACTAACGCTTGTATAGCTGATGTGCGTGAGTTGATAAGCAAAGCGCGCTGAGTGGATTGAGCGCGCGGCGGCGCAGATGCGCAAGCTTGTCGAGTGAATATACCTTTCTCACAGACATCACTGGAAAGTTTGTAGTTCGGTCGGATACGTCAAAAACAAGGAAGTAAAACAATGCACTAGTTACTTAACGGTAGGGAGAGAGCGAGCGCGCGCGCAATTCTGTTGTGTGATCTTTGATTTTCACTCACTTAGCACACGCATCATTTAAATCGTAAAAATAAGACCATTTATAGGGGCATTCACTATAAAATGTCATTTATTTTTAACCTTAGGCATACACGACTTTCTGGCAAAAGTGAACCTAGCAGCCTTTGTGAAATGCGCTAGGCTGTACTTTTCTACATCAGTACAAATACGTGCACGCGTTGCACGTTTTGCTTGCTTGAGTGTTTCTGCATTATATGAGTGGCTTTGGAATATAAATCGCAGCACGTTTCAGA